TGCCTTATTCCTTGAGATAGGATCTCACTATGTAGCTCAGCCAGCTTTGGGACACCTCAGCTTTTCCAATACTGGGATTATAGGTATTTGACACTATACTGGGCTTCTTTTTTATTGTTCTATGTGTTTGAAATTTTTCCATAACAAAATGTTAAGGAGCAAGGCATAGCTGTGCACATCTAAGAAGATCTCAAGTGTAAAGCCAGCCTGGGCTGCATAGTGATCTCCTGTCTCAATAAATAAATAAATAAATAAATAAATAAATAAATAAGGAAGACTAAGAGCTACAGATGGAGCTTGGGGGTAGAATTTCCCTAGAATATATGAGCAAGAGGCTGGCGTGTGACTCAATGGTAGAGCCCCTGCCTAGAATCCCCCAGTGAGGGGCTGGGGGTGTGGCTCAGTGGCAGAGCCCCTGTCTAGAATCCCCCAGTGAAGGGCTGGGGTGTGGTCGAGTGATATAGAACTTGCCTAGTATATACAAGGTTCTGAGTTTATCCTCAGCACTGCAGGGAAAACATTTAAAAAGTAAAAAGTTCATTGTGCAGTGATCACCCACATACCTGCCAATGTGAATCAAATACCAAAATTCAAGAGTCCTCAAGTCCAACACTCAAAATGCTCTGGTATTTGCCTATAAGCTATGCACATTCCCCTGTGAACTTTAATCCTCTAGGTGTAGTACTGAATTCAGCATGAACAGTCTCTCTGTAGCATTGGCAAGGATGTGTCTAAGTGTCTTTTCCTGGTGCAGTGATAAGATGCTCTGACAAAAGCAGCCTAAGGGAGAGCTTATTTGGGCTTCATAACATGGGGTACGGTCCATCATCAGAGGAAATCAGGGCCACAGGGCAGCAGAAGGTTGAAGCAGTTGGTCACGTGGCATCTAGGATCCCAAAGCAGAGATCCACAGCGCTAGCTAGCTTCCTGGTGCTCGGCTCCTTGTCTCCACTGTACAACCAGGATCATCCCCACCAAGGAAAGTGTGCCGCTTTGGAGGGTGGATCCCCCCCCAACACAAGACAGTCCTCCACAGAATGCCCAGAGCCCTGGTCTCCCAGAGGACTCTAGATTCTGTCAAGTTGATGGTGCTAAACGTCTCTGGCAATAATGACAGCAATGGCTGTCTATGCTCAATGCAGATACAGGGTTTTTCTTTTTAAATTGTTTTATTTTTAGGTGTGTGTGTGTGTGTGTGTGTGTGTGTGTGTGTGTGTGTGTGTGC